ATAACGAAGTTACAACGCGCTACGAAACTCGAAATTAGTTTCGGGAGCGTGCAGCTCGACGTCGCTCAAATTGACAGAGGATGTCCGATGGCGCGTGTAACAATTCCACGAATATACATCTCGAAATTTTTCTCGTAACCCGACATTGAACAGTCATGGAAATAAAAATTTTTTCTATCCTATTCTTCTTCAGTTTTACAACACTTTTTTTTGTAATATTTATCTTTCATAGCGACCGAAATAAAGTTCACCGATTGATTTACAAGCTAACTATGAACAGTAGAATATCGTTATTCACTTTGATACTTACTGCATAGTACATCTAATAAAAAGATCGCATTACTATTTGCGCCACGATTATTTACTGCCTGCGGTAAATCGAAATAAACGAAGCAATGTGGGATCGAATAAACGTTAAATCTCGTTAAATCGAGCCAATCGCTAAGCCGTTTTGATCGTATCTGGCAATAACAGTTGTAACTATGGCTGCACTTGTAATTTAATTTTGTCGAAAGATACAGACGATCTTTAATCACATCCAAACGATTCGGCAAAGGACATTCTCCGATCATTTTTATTTTTATTATTTTTATACATTTCTTTGATTCTGTAGAAAAGCTTAATTAAAAAGCTTTGAGAATTACAATTGAAGAGATTCTGAATAAGATTCCAAAAAATTGCATATGCCTAAGCAAAATGTATTTAAATTGCAAGGTTTTTAATTTTAATATATAATTTATTTTTAGTAAATCAATTTTCGATGTAAAAAGCACAATGACCCTCTTCTACAAACTATTTTTGTTAGAATAAAATCGACACGTCTCTTCGCATGTTCATGTGGAATTTCGCGCTCAAGTCGCGTTTGCTTTGATCAATTCGCTCGAGCGGCGCTCGAGAGATTTCCGGTCGAGTTTAAATTCGCGAGTGTCCGTATTCGCTACGAGGAGACGGCTCGAGTGCCCCCCCCCCCCGGATGCACACCAAGTGCACTTCACTCATCGGCAGCCATTTGCACCCCAAGCCACGCCAAAAAACTTTTCAGGATGGCGAACTCCTGGATAGCAAATGAACGACAGAGAGAAAAGAGAGAAAGAGAGAGAGAGAGAGAGAGAGAAAAGAAAGGAGAGGAGAGGAGAGAGAGAGAGAGAGAGAGAGAGAGAGAGGAGAGAGAGAGGAGAGAGGAGAGAGAGAGAGAGAGAGGAGAGAGAGAGAGGAGAGAGAGGAGAGAGAGGAGAGAGAGAGAGAGAGAGAGAGAGAGAGAATTTTAAACATACTTCGAGATCACGACTAGGCAACATTTGAGTCGATTTTCTTCCCCACAAAAATTCAAAAAATCATCACGTATTCTGCTCACAATATACCCGATACCTTAAAATATAGAAAACCGTATGGCATGACAAGAATAAAAACATACGAGGCGCTCAGCTGCATTTACAAAACATATTTCTCCTATACAATACGTAGAATCTTCAATTCACACGCAAAATCAAACGAACGTAGTTTTGTACTAATATCTTTATAGTATTTACATTTTACGTGTTAGGAAATCTATATTAAAAAAAAGAAATTATATCTTCATTTAAAAATATGAAAAAATTCTAAAAAATACTGTAATTTATAGAAAATGATATAAAGATAAAAGAAATTGTTGGTCGCAATGAAATCCATTTGTTTAAAAACAAAATTGGAATTTCAATCAATTTATTGTAAAACAATATATATTTTAAAATATTTCTTTTTACATATAATTTTTCAATGTATTATTGCTTAATTATTTATTAATGATCGTTAAAAATTATAATTTTCTTTATAAAAAGAAATAAAAAAATATTAATGAAACTTTTAAAATAAAAGCTCTTTTACAACCGCTAGCAAATAATTAAGCAATAATAAACATTGAAAAATTATATATATGTAAAAGAAAATATCTAAAAAATTTAATTATTTTGTTATAATTGAGCTGAAATTCTAATTTTATTTTAGAAAAAATATTCATTCGCGAGTGAATCTCATTTCAATTCCAATTTCCTTTACCATATTCTATATATTTTAGAGTATTTATGAGAATTTTTTCAGATTTTTAAAGAGTGTAATTTCTCGTTAATTCTCGTAATTTACGTATTTAAATATAAAAAAATTGATATCTTTCATATTATTAAATTTTTCTCACTAAAATTAATGTTTTTATCTAAAAGTACGAGAAAAATCCTAAAAATTGATGTCTATAAAAATTTTGTATATTTTATAATTTTAGCTACAAATGTAAAAAAAATTTTTTAAACGACTACTGCTAATAGATGTAAGGCATATAATGCTTATTTTTCATCTTTAACCTTATACAATGTATACACTAACATGGCACGATCATTTTAAAAATCTTAAGCAGTTCATTTTTAGGTGGATCCCTGACACATGAAATGCGCCACATATGTACTATATATTAGGCGTAGTAAAAAGAAATCCATTATTTTTGCATGAAATTGAATGGAAAAATAATGGATTTCTTTTTACTACAGCTAATATAATAGTTCAGAGGAAGAGAATACCAAAGTACGATTAAAAAAAAGAATACCAAAGTACGATTAAAAAAAAAACTAAAGTTAATAGAAAATCTCTTTGTTTTGAACATTTTGAATTTTCTTGATGCTAACTTGAATTTTAAATATTGTCAATTTTTATTGAAAAAAAAAAAAAAACAAATTTTAATATCAAACATAATTTTACGAAAGAAGTGAATTTATTGACAATAAGAAATACGATGACTTGGTGACAAAACATTTTAAACAATTCTCGATAAATAAAGCGCTGAGAAACTCTCAACTGAATTATATGATTAGCCGAGTTGGAAACGACGACATGTCCAGAGATCGCGGTATGACATATTATAATAGTAGAACGGAACCAGTTAAACGTTAATCTCCCGGCTAATTTCGCCGCGTGCGGGCGGCAACTTCGTCACGTAGCATCCGTCACTTGATAGTTCCGGGGGGGGAGGGGAGGGGGAGTAGGATAGTATAATCTTGATGCCATTGTACCAAAAGCTGATAGAACACGAGCTGCGAACAGGATCTATTCGGCTTATATCAGCTGATAACATGCCAGCCGCGACACAGACAGCGCGTATGTGAATGCGTTCGCATAGTTCCAGATGCATGGCGAGTAATCTCCGATTCGGAAGCCGGTCAACCGGACAAACTCAGAACAGATTCTGGTAATCGATGCATTGTATGACGGATGCGGCGAAAATGGAAGAAATGGATTTTGGCAAACGATTTTTGCGAATCAATTTGACACATGAGTAAGTTATCAAATGACATCGCAGCTTTGGCATTACTTCGAATGCCAGAAAAAGCTGGCTGTTACAAAAGTTAGTTTGGCTGAATCAGATTTTTAAAAATTTTTCGAGAACGTGGGATGACACCATGAAGGTAGAGAAAGAGAAATATTGGCTGCAGGAAGAATCGAGAGGAATAAATCGCCGACGTTGTAGTGACGCTTTATCCCGCGCAACAATGGTGCGAGAAATCTTCGAAGAGCGACGCATCAGTTCCAATAAATAATGACCGAGGTATCCTTCTCCTCTCGTGAGAAAGAACTTTTACGCGTGCCAGTATTTCGAGAAACGATTCCAAGCTTTTCGATTCGACGACACCGTTTCAATTAAATTCAATTCAATTAAATCGGTTTTGACGTTTTTCGCATCGCTTTTCTGCAAAGCTTCAGGAAAGATCAAAGAGAAAAAGAAATGTTTTTGCGTTGCTTGCAACGATTAAACGTCATAAAAAGTAATCCAGATGGGTTTTGTAAGAATTACTATTTATAAATGTTAAGCATAACATGATTAAAAAAATCAACAAAAAATGAAATAAATAATTAAACTAAATTTACATTTAATAATAATGTTTTTAAGTAAAATTGAGATTTTATCTTTTACTATAACAAACAAACTGACAAGGTCGATAAGATAAGACTTACATATTCTCCTCTTAGATATACAAGACTTGTGATATCCGTTAATAATAGATTTCTAAGATGATTTCAAGACGAAAATCTTAATATCAAAATGGCTACAGTAATTTTTAAATGAGAAGAATTTAAAATTAGCCAATTAAGCTGTCTAAAATTCATGCGCTCAACTATATATTGTATAGTAGTGAAAGTGTTCAGAAAAATAAAAGAGAATAGAATTAATGCTTGAAAACATCTGCGCGAATTTTAAATAGTTTAATTGGCTAACTTTAAAAATCTTTCTCATTTAAAAACTACTGCAGCTTCGATTTTGATATTAAAATTTTTGTCTCGAAATAATCTCAGAAATCTGCTATTAATCATACGAAATCTGAGACATCCTGCATATGTATAATTTAAATAAAAGACATTAACTGACAATTGTCAAAATTGGGCTCAAGAAAATTTTAATATGTAAAATCGTATATTAGAATAGAGCTTTTTCATCCCTTTCTCACGATAATGTTCATGTTTCTGAACAGCACATATATTTGATTATTTAAAAGTTGTGCTCTCAAGGAGCAATCATTGTACAATTACAAGCATGCAAAGAGATATTGCTTGCTATCGTAAATTTTTGTATTATTTTAAAGTTGAAATTGACGGAATAGTTCCGTCAATTTTTTATCCTATATTGAAATCGCTACAATAGATCACGAAATAATTAGTTATTATCGTAAATCAACATGTTTACAATATTCAATACAATATTCAATACAGTAAATGACAATACAGGAAATGAAAGCGATGCATTCTGTATCACTTTCATTGTCGATCAACAGGAAAGAGAACAGAGAATTCTCGAATATCTTGATTCGCTTATTTGTGTAATCGCTAAATTGTTTTTACTCTTTGATAACTGCTCAAGTTGATCAAATGATAATTGTTTTTCTACTGGTTGATTTTCCGTCGATATAACCATAAAGATGTGTATTACACGATGTGTATTATTTCGAGCGCAAGAAAATTTAAGCAAAGCAAACAAGACTTACCCAGCAGCGCCTGGAAGAGTCTGCTCTTGAAGATACGTATAACGCGTTCGATGGCTAATCGCAGCTGCTTGTCTTGTGGTCTTGTCAGCTTAGCATGGTAATCTTCAAGGAGCTCCAGAGCTCGGTGAGCTTCTAAACACAGAGAAAAGATAGATGGATGATAGATGAGAGAGAATCGGTAGAACAGTTTAGTTTCACAATACATAAATATGATTTCGTTGCCATTCATCAAACTTGATCAACTAAATCGTGAGATTCAATTTCATTGAACACTTTGTCGTCACTTCGTTATTAGCTATTTCCTTCATTATCACTACCATCGACACGTTACTATTTATCACGCTAATTGATTAACCATATTTGTGAAGCATTACAAATCTGATGTAATTGAACGTAATTTGATGCAATCTGTACTTCCCTCCAAAGCCCTCGTTTTCACACGTTTCATTAATTAAACATCTGTCAGTGGACATTAATTAGTGAAGTGTATATTATCGATATTACACTTTCCATCTAACTCTGGGATTTTAAATTGCATTATAACCAGAAATTTCAACATAAAATTTCAAGGCTCGCGGCATGCACAAGCGATGATCCGAAAAATTGAAAATGAAACCGGATTGCGTATGAAATTGCGAGAGAAAATACTATAGACGCATTTAATCTGCGAATATACAGAAAGAATCAAAATAATGTGATAACACGCATCGATAATTGAAATCCTTGGACAAGTAAATAAAAATGTTTGTCCATATAAGTATTATTTAAGTTTGAAGTTTTAAAAAATATACTAATAAATATAAATATTATTTACTAACCATCAAGATCCGCTTCGACTGAGAATATGATTTTTTTCTCTTATTTGATATAAATATAACAATGTCAGTGCTTCGCTAAGAATTCTTGTATGCGATTTTCTTAATTAAACATGGCGTTTAATATCCTATCTTTTAAGTAGAAATTCTTCGATTTAACATTACTTATCTTTGACGCATATACAATATTGGAAAACAGCGATATTGCACCTAGTAAACGAAAATTTCTCAGTCTCGCGCCATATACCTTTTTCACGCACGAAGATCGCATTCAACCTGTTTTCACCATTTTCCTCTTCCTGCTAGCCATCATAAACATCATTCCCTTTACCTCTCCGCCGGTGTGAGAGAGAATGAAAGTACGAAACCATTTGGAGGGTGAAACGACTCGAAAATCTCGTGTAATGGTGAGTGCAAGTCAAGAACAAATAACGGCAATTGCATCAGTTTTCATAGCAACAGCACCGATGCAACAGCTTCTTTGCTCTGTTGATCTTCACTCTTTCTGCGAATGCGAAAAGTGCTCTCACTGCACGGTATAACTATATGAATTGTTGATATATTTGTATAGACGCTAACATATCACTGAAGATAATATGAATAATTCAATAAATTATTAAATCAACAATTGTTATAATCAAAAGTATATTTGAGGAAACTTTTAAAAAATGCGAGTTGAATATTGCCATAAATTAACTGTAATACGAATTAATTATAAACTTAATTCTTTTTCTATTTGAAAAAAAATAAAATCTACTTTTTTTATAGATATTGAAGAAGTATTTTCTTATTAAACAAAGATTTTTAATTGTCAGAATTTGTACATGCATTTCATTTCAAAAAGTAAATTGAAAAAGTAAATTAAGGAACAGATAAAAAATATAAGATTTCTAAGAAAAATGATAGAAAGCAGAATTTTAGTAATCATCTTAAATAAATTTATTAAGAATAAATTTATGAATCTGCAGATAGTAAACATACTAATAATCTCATCATTAGTAAAATTAGCATTATCATAGTGACGGCCCGCACACTTGTTGATTCGCATTATCATTCGTAAGAACGATCGGGATTTTTATAAAATAAATTTCATATCTATTTGAATCCTTTTCGAGAAACGGATATTCCATTAATAAAAGAGACTGCAAACAGACACGTCCAATCGGATGATAATGCATCTTTGTTTTCTCATGATTTTTCACTTCGTTCCCATTTTACAATTCGGAATAAACACATCAAACTCTGTCGACACTCTGTTTTTTTTCTACATTAGAAATATCTCATAAAAACGATAAGAGAGAGGGAGATAGAGATAGAGAGAGAGAGAGAGAGAGAGAGAGAGAGAAATAAAAGAGCTACTCTTACAAATATCGAGATAATACAAATATTGAATTTTACTTTACGATCTTATTAAGATTCATAAGACCCAAATCAAAATTTTTTTTAGAAAAATATAATGATTTTAATATCACAATTATATATCAAAATTGTTTTATATAGCAATTAAATACAACTTTTTTCCTTTTTTCTTTAAATATAATTAATATTTTAATTAGGCAATATAATTATAAAATATAAAAAGAAAATATCACGTTATTTTAAATTTTTTATGTCAATACGTTTACATCTTTTAAGAAAGCATCAAAACTTAATTTAAGAGATAAAAGATGTTGTAACGTGTTTATGTAATAAAGAAAACATAAAGTAAAATGGTGTTTCGATTTTTATTTTTTAAATACATTCGTTCGCGTATGCGTACGCATATTCGTTCGCTGCATTTCTAAAGATACTTTATACACATTATACTCTTTATACATCCGTAGATCTATCGCAAAATATTGGCTAGACATTTTTCTCGAAGCATAATTCTTGAAGCATGTAATCACATGTAAAAAAATATCCGTGCAACAAAAGATCGATTGGTGTATTACATTTTAACACAAAATATTTTTGGCAAATTTCGATATTTATATCACGAGAATATGAGAAAAGCGCGCGTCCAAAATCGCGCGTTAAATATAAAATTATTTAATGTTATGCTGCGATCTGCGATCAGAATGGAGAAAAAGCAAAAAACAGTGCGACTCGCGTTTAATTAGTGATATTACAAGAAAGTGCCACTTCGAAAAATTCACCGCTTCAACGAGAAAGAACTTCCAAGCCTGGAATACGGGCAATCGATTATACGAAAGAACGAGGAACATGTTCTGGTCTCATCTGTGCATGCTTCCGCGTGCGAGGGTGCAAGATCGGATGAAGCACGAGAGAAGATAGAAAGAACGAAAGGAAGGGAAATTTCTTGGTCGCTAATAACACGGCAATGGGCACGTCATCCACTTTCACAAAAACGACAGCGAAACTATGCCAAGTATGGCCGTTTATCCCGGCTTTATGGTTCATCCGGCTGCACGTCGTGCTTCGTGAATTATAACGCCGTATCTTTTTACGAGACGCGTTACTGCGCTCGATTTTCACGAGCACGAGGCGAATGAGCTGGTCACGGTCGTGAGAGCCATGTTCACCAAGTCTCTTATAGTCCCTCTTATAGTTATCCTGAACCTGCATTAAGAAATGGATACGTTTTCCTTAGCACTTGTCGAGTTCATCCCGTTATTACGTCACAAGTGACGAATATAATAGAAAACGACGTGTAGTGAATTATTACTCATACATTGGAAAAATATTATTTTATAAACTTTTCTTGCGAAAAAATAGCAAACAAATTGATTAAACGTATAGTAATTTAAAAAAATAAATCACTGATGCGAAAATTGTTCAAATAAGCGAAGAGGATCATATACTTAGTTAAGGCGGATTTTTTGGTATTTATATAATAATATTTTTGTGTGAATTTTATAATTTCTATAGTTCAAGCAAACTGCACATCGATTAGTTGTCGGTTTTAAAACATAATCCTAAATTAAAGTAGAATTATATAATACGTATCACAAATTAAATGGAACAAGAAATTTAATATTGCTGATGCTAACATCTTTAAAATAACGTAAAAGATTTATTATAAAATTTCACATAAAAATATTAGATATTAAAACCATCTTAATCGAATATGAGCTCTTCTTCGCTTAATTATATAATGATATGAATAAAATGAACAACATTTAGCCTTGTTCATATAAACAATGTATATAAACTTTTAATATTTATGTTACCTAAATGAAAATCTAAAACTTGACTGTATACGTATACGAATTTCGTATACAAATTTCATATAAGAGTCAATTCTAATATAAAATTAGGTCCCATCTAATCTAGTTTATGTTTCAATTCAAAGTTTGATCTCTTCTCTCTGTAAGGCGCCAGAAGAGCGACATACCATTATTTTCGCCTTTCATTACGCTTACATAGTTCGCACGCAATAATTAAAGGGAACCCCTCTGCGTTCGTCTAATTAAAGCGTGATAATTATTGAAGCAAATTACGAGCAGTTTCCTTCGTTTCGTAACAAAGTACGACAAGTCGTCGACGAAGTCGCAACAATTATTTCATTCAACAGTTATACATAAAGATAAATATTAGAAGGGGACATCGAATTTATATGTTATCTTGAAACTTAACGATCTCAATAAATATCTTTTTACAAAACTACACTGTTAAATCTATAGTATAAAATTTAATTTAATGTGAGTCGCCACTGCTCCTATTTAATATCGTTATTTTTTTTATTAAAACAGTGGTTATATTTGACACTCTATCGTGTGAATTTGACACTGTACAGTGTCAAATATAATTGTTTTAGTGAAAAATAACGATTTAATAGGAGTAATGACTCACATTAGGTTAAATCTGACACTATAGATTAACATTATATATATATACGCACACACATGTGTATGTAGGTCGACATTTATATACGAACGTCGACACTCTTTAACGCAAGTTTATAAGGCAGTAAATTCAAAATTCATCATTCTGGCAGGAAAAACGAACTATCGACTAACTGTCGAGTAAGGGCGTGGGCTAGAAATCTCGCCTACATGCACTGCACCTGATGCACACATATGTATGTAGCTCGTTGAGATCCCACAGACAATTTCGATCACGCTTATAATTTACACGATAACATTTCGTTGACATAAATGAGAATCTTAATTAGCAATACACGATTTTTTTATGAATAATAAGTAACAAATAAAATTTGTGTAAAAAGAATTATTTATTAAAATTGACTAAAATTAAAATATCGAATAAAATTGTGATATCAAACAAACACATACAACGCATACAAATTCTCTTTAAAAAAAATAACTGAATTTTTTGACAAATTTCTCTCGCACCAGGAGAATTATCCTATTTGTG